GGCTTCGAGGTAGGTCCTGGGGGGGGATAGCATATATATATATATACACGTACATACACACACACATACATACATACATACATACATGCATGCATGCATGCATGCATGCATGCATGCATGCATGCATGCATGCATACATACATATATACATACATATATACATTCGAACAGACAGACGGACAGACGGACGGACAGACAGACAGGACTCACAGGACAGACAGGACAGGACTGCACGGGACAGGACGGGACAGACATGCAATGTACCCTCGCCACCTCTCAGACTCTTAATGATTTTTGAGAGTTCCAGCGGCCTGCCACGTAAGCCTTGCCCTCGTAGCCGATGCTGCAGGATTGCGGCACCTTCAGGCTTTGATTTGTTGTGCCGCTTCGGGCTTAGGGTATAAAGCTGTGGAGACTTCGTCTCAGAAAGTTGCTCCTTCACAACCGAGTTTCTGCACTCCAACCACTGAGCCGCACAGCTTCTAAGCTCAAGAAATGGGACTTTCCGAAAATTAGGGTACCTTATTTTGGGGTCCTTATAACAAGGAACCTATGATTTAGGGTACTATATTAGGGTCCCTATTTTTGGGAACCCCCAAATACATTGCAGTAACCCAACGTCTGGTTCTAGGCTCTAAGGTGCTTGTAAATCCCAGGGCCCACTGTCCTTAAATCTCGAGGTTCCCAAACTACCCAATTTCCCCACAACAACACATGCCACAAGTCCTACAAATCAGAAGCTGTGAACCCCCCCCCCTAGAAAATTTGCGATGCACCATAAACCCACCCCGAATGAAATCCTTGCGTAAGCCTACTGAAATCTCTTCCTTAAGTTAGAACCCTATAAACTCTAAATGTCTAGACTTAACACTCAAATCGTCAACCTAAAACCGTAAATCCTCAGACCTGTTTCGCATCACCCTGTTGTAAAACACGAATATATCAGAACCTTCCAAACAACCCTCCCCTATACCCAACGCCCTGAACTCGCTACAATACCAGCATGCGTAGCCCGACGCCCTAAACCCGGTTCCTGGTCCTGAATTTTCTATAAGTCCGAAAATTGGGCTTAAACCCGGTTTAAGGTTTAGGCTTTCCCTAAACCCTAAACCCGAAACCAAACCCGCAATCGCTCGAGTTCGGCCTCTGGGCCTTTTGAGGCCTCGCCGGGCGTGCCGGCGGCAAATCCGAGAGCTGGACCTCGGGTTCCTGCAGAGGGTCTGTTTAGGGTGTCGGGGTTAGGGATTGAGGGGTTTAGGGGTTTAGGGTTATTAGGTTTAGGGTTTAGGGGTTGAGGGGTTGAGGGGTTGAGGGGTTGAGGGGTTTAGGGGTTTAGGGTTTAGGGTTTAGGCTAACCTATGGTGGGGTTTCGGGTTTAGTGTGTCCATTGTAGCTCCGTTTCTTGGTTTAACCTATTTTATACTCAGGATCCTAGTAATGATAGCCCCTTAGGATTTATAGGTGTTTAACACTGTGTATTTGTCGGGTTGATTCGTCAGGATGTGTGGGTTGTCTGCTTAGGGTGCAGGTTGGCAAGTTGTAACAGTAGAACCCAAGAGTCTACAAGGGATTGGGATTTAGTGTTTACGGCTCAATCCCCTCGCTTCAAACATCGGAAAGGCTTACCAGGCTTACCACCAAGCATCAAAAGGCAACAATGCGAAAGAGGAGCAAAGACTTCGTCGGTGAACATGCATAACCCCCAAACGCAGGAACCCTAAAACCGTGCACCGAAATCCAAACAAGTTAACACAAGGCCGTCACATGTAGCTACACAATTCACTCGAGGATGTTATGTCCGTCTGGGAGTTGCTGGTCTAAGTACAGAAGACTCCTCTTGCTAACTGTTGCTGATCCTAGAGTGGACCAATCTCCGTGCCCACAGCTGCATGCACATCGCATAGGATACCCAAAACACTACTTCAAGCCAAACACCACTGCAACACGACGCCTCAAGAGAAACGCATCAGAAAAATGCGAGTTTGACAATGCACAGGGCTCCCTGCTGGATGTCCTAAAGTCATGGAACCATTATTTTGTATCGCGACATCGCAAAGGACCCCCAGAAGACGTTCCGAACATATCCCCAGCACTAGCACCTTCACGGAGGGTCTCCAGCCGCACCTCCAAGCTTCAAAGTTCAGGGTTTAGGGTTGTTTGGCTTTTCTACCCAAGGGCTCCCATGTAGTTCCTTTTTGGATAGTATATTACAATTCCTGACCAAAAAACCATCACAGACCCCCAAAAAAGAACTACATTGGAGCCCCCTGGGTAGAGAAACCCCGACGATGCTGGCTACGGACTCGTCCCGCAAGGATACCTGCCTTTGACCAGTTACCCTAAACCCTACACCCTAAACCTTAAACCCTACCCTAAGCCTCGGATTCCTTGGGGCATGGCCACTTCTGGAAGGCGATGTCTGTAAAAAAACTAGTAAGAATAACAATACTTATACTGATAACAAAAACTAGAGGAATAAAAATAATAATAAGAAGAATAACTATAATAAGGAAGACAATAATAATAGTAATAATACCGACAACAATTTCCTTTGCCTTGCACTTGTGTTCGCAAAGTCCCCAGCCTCGCTCCCTGAAATGGCTCCTTGTTCTGCATCCAGACTTGCAGTGCGATGGGCATTCTTGCAGTCTATTTAGATCGAGTTAGGGGCTGAGTACCCTAGCCCAAAAAAGGTTAACCTTGTCAATTATAGTAGGATTATATAAGCCCCAGAAGGTTAAAGCTTACTGACTCAGCCCCTCAGTTCTATATACGATATAAGCCACACCACTCATGCGTTTGACATGCCGCGAGCCTAGAGCAAGCTTTGTGCTCCAAGCTAATCGCTTTCAGCATCCGTCTGCCAGCAGCCAAGATCCGGCTCGCTGCTGCTTGACGACTGCCACGTCGGTGTCTTCTCACCCGGCAACTTGATATTCTGGAGGGACTGAGTTTCAAGCTTAATGGCTTCTTCGTGATCCCTCTCTTCCTTCATAGCACTGGGCACGATGTGCCAGAACCAGGCGCAGCCCACAAGCGCTGACACCAGAAATCCCAAGACAGCCACCATCCTTTCGGCTTGCTTTGGGTAGCCCTGGATGAATTCGTTGACCGTGTCAGTTTGAAAGGCTAAGCGGCTCATGGTGTGCGGGTCCAGGAGCGTGTCGTACGAGCTTTCAAAAGCTTTGTCCCAGCAAATGCCCACCAGAAGGCCGAGTCCACTCATGACCTTCCTCAAAGCTTTAGCTGTCCTCACGTCCAGATCCCCTGCAGGTGCAGGCCTTACCATGGCAACATATGAGGTGGAGTGGGTAGCAGGGCAGCAAGGCTTTCCCTGCCAAAAGTCTGCCACTCCATCTATGACCAGCATGCACACCACCGCCAGCAAGGACATGGCCAAAGCATTGACTATTACGGCACGGTGGACAACCTGAACCGGCTGCATCTCGTGGCTTCCATGGCACTTGTGCGGATATTCACACATCACCTCCATGTGGTAACGATTCATCCGAGATTTGCATTTTTGGTAGAAGAAGATGATTCCACCACGCTGGAGGCACCAGCAGGCCATGCTGGATCCTAAGACTCCAATGAACTCGAAAAAGAACTCAGAATGTACCATGTGGCGCAAGCAGACAGACCACACCGAGGAAGAGCAGAGCAGCACAAGAGCCAGAAGCCCAAGTAAGAGTTCTGTGTAGGCTTTGTGGTGGCCAGGGTATCCATGTGTGATGGGCATAAACCTTCTTTCAGGCTCAGACGCATCACTCGACGCAGGCTCAGACTCATCAATCAACGAATAGCACAATGCTTGCACAATCAGGAAGCCAACACTGATCCCCCCCGCGTCGATCTGCATAAGCATCGCCTGATGCATGACCAGCCTTTTCTCCTTCCACCACTCGTTATCAAATCTTCGCAGGAGATGGAGCACCATGCGGTAGAGGATGACCATCACCCCAAACGCAAGGAGTGGAACCAACCAAACTCCGCCCCACGAAGAAACGGCTTTCCACGAAACAGCTGCCATTTGGAGGTGCCCAAAAAACACGATGCTGGCAAAAGCCATGATGTGGCTGCCCAAAGCCTGCGTGGCAAATAGCACGTGATGATTCTCCTGTGGAATGAGGCACAAGAATGCCAGGTGCAAGACGACAAAGACCAGACACAGGAAAACGAAGAGGACAATGAGATTGGGCTTGCTCATGAAAGCCGGCTTCTCGTGCCCTTCTTCCTCTGAAAATGTCTCGATAAGCCTGCAGACCGCATTGTCGAAGCTTGCAGCACAGAAAATCGACAAGGTGACATTCAGCAAGGCCCAACTCTCCTTGCGGATGTCCTCATCCTTGCACTTCACCAGACAGAGTACCTAGTTCATGGTTGGGGTAGTATAAAAATTTTAAACTTGTATTCCTTATTGGGTTTAAGTACCCTTAAAAATGTAAAATGTTACCCAACTATGACAGAGTACCCCGGTCGAGACGATCACAAAGCTGATCAAAAGCAGCGCGGTGGTCCAGGTCACATCGTCGAGCTCCACATACTCCTTTTCTGTTGACTCCTGCGTCACGGCCAAAGGACACGCCCACAACAGGAGAAGTGCCCTCAAGCCCATCACGGCGCCAGAAAAGAGGGCCAAGGCAAAGACTCGGGCCAAAACAGAACTCATGCTTCAAACATTCCGAACTAGGATGCATCACACATGCCCAAGGTAAAGCTTCGTGGATGAGACAGATAGATGGGCGAAGAGTAGCCGATGGCCGACTTTCACGAAGCCACGTTGCCTTCGCTTGCCTCTCTCTTTCATCCGTCCATGTCTATGTCGCAGCTTGTTGCCTCTCCTCCTTTCTGTCTCTCTGCATCTTTGTGTCGCTGTCTCTGCTTTTTGGTCTGCCTTATGCTGTACTCAGATTGGGTTCTGGTAGGGTGTAATGCCTAGGAATCGCTGGAAGTGTGCTGTCTCACCACCGTGCGTGCTGTCTCGATGCCGTGCAGGTCATCTCCTGCTATTCGGGCACACCCTTCGTGGACTTAGCCATGGATGCCCCACCCCGCGACGTGGATGCCCACAGCCTCGATGAGAGGCTAACTTGTCACCAACATACAAGCCGAATGCGAGATCAACGTTGTAACTAGTTCAAGTCTTCATAACTCTCATGATGAATTTCTGCCTCCAGTGTGCCAGAAATCCACGAGTTGCAAAAGTCACTGGAAAGAGCAAGGGGGAAACACAAGCCTGAGTCTAGGTGTGTCAGATCTGGGTGTCTGGTCAATCCCTAAACCTTAAACCCCAAACCCTCAATCCTAAACCCTAAACCTTAAACCCTAAACCTTAAACCCTAAACCTTAAACCCTAAATCCTAAACCCTAAACCCTATTCTTTGTGGCGGGGTTCCAACTGTCCAGGGATTCATTGGTCGCTCAGGGCCTGGAAGAAATGCCCTGCTGGAAAGCTTGGCGCAGTGCCGTTCCCGAAGACCACGGCGCCCTGAAGGTTTAAGGGATTAGAGTTTAGGGTTTTGGGTTTTGGTTTAGGGTTTAGGGTTTAGGGTTTAGGGTTTAGGGTTTAGGGTTTAGGGTTTAGGGTTTTGGTTTAGGGTTTAGGGGCTAATCTGGACCCTAAAGTGTGTAGAATTAAAAGCCTATTAGGGGCTTAGGGCCATTTTTTTGCTTACTTTGGGGGGGTTTAGGTAGAGCCAAGGCTCGTCCTTCTGCGGATCCCTTCATTTCCGGCCAGTATAGTCCTAACTCCTGAACCCTAAACCCCTAAACCACAGACCGCTACAAACCCTAAACCCTAAATTGTTCGACTGAAGGAATGCTGGCAGGAGGGCTGGAGCAATTCAGACCTGCGGGCTCTCATGTAAGCTGAGTTGTGGTTTGATGGGCGTGTAGAAGTCTCGAGGCCATGAGGGGAATGACAAGCTCAAAGTTCCAAGACATGGTGGGTTCAGAATCGTTACCAAAACTATTCCAACATATTGTTCCAATTTAGTTACACAAGCATACTCCAAGACCCCGTTCCAATCACTAAGGGCCGTATATTGCGTTCGGAGCTTCAGGAAAATGCAAAAGGCGGACAGGTCCTCGTGTGAACCTCTGCATCAATAAACTCCCTTCCCTGGATACGGACTATATTGGGAATCCGAAAATCCAGGCTCTGAACGACATAATCTCGAAGAAATCCATACCAACCCTTGCAAAACCCATTGCACACCTTCTAAAAGCCCACTGGGACCCTTACCTTTGCCCTTGCAATACCCTTGTAGTAACCTGCACCCTTACAGCAAGCCTTGTAGTAGCCCTTATCCTTGTAGTGCCTGATTAGCACTCTTACGTTTATCAGTTAGAGGTTTACAAAACCTAAATCCTAAACTCCAACCCCTAAACCCTAGCTGCAAACCCTGACCCCCAAACCAAAGCGAGCCTCCGATCCTGGCGACTTGCATCGCGCCAGCAACATCTCCTCAGACAGGGGAACCATGGGTCCGGGTTTAGGTTTTAGGGTGGACGCTTCGGGGCTTGGGTTTCGGGTTTTCGCTTGTAGGGCATGAGCTATGGGTTGAGGGTTCAGAGACCATGGGTTTATGGATCGTGGGTCCTGGGTTTGGGCTTCGGGTTTGGGAACTTTGGGAACTAGATTAGGGGTCTGCAGGATTTCTCGGCTGCGTGTGTTCGGGACTGGTTTAGGGTTTGGGGTTCAAGGTTTAGAGTTTGGGGTTTAGAGTTTTGGGTTCCAGGATGCTCCGGGTTTCTCCTGCAAAACCTTCACAAACGACACGAACCTGCAACCGCATGAAAACCGTCGTCAGCTCTGTCAGTTTGGATATACTTGATCAAAGCGTGGACTCTGCTCCCAAGAATTGTCAATCTTTCTGGGCCGCATACTGCGTACCTCTACATCTTGGACTTTTTACTCGGCAGCCAGACACACCGAACTTGCGTAGTCCCATGATCTTCGAAGGAATATAGTGCCTTTTTTTAGCAGGAATAGGAGTCCTTCGGGTTACTATAGTAGAAAATGTGAAAGCCCCACATACCCGATTGCAGCCCTTGAAGCCGCCATACTATAGGGGCCTAAACAATTAGCTATACGTACTATTTTTTGGGGGGTCCTTATTATATTGATAATACAATATACCCCAAAACCCCAGTCTAATTATCCTAACCCCTACATTATTGTGGTTCAGGGCACCCTAAACCCTAAACCCAAACCCCTAAACCGAAACTGGGACCCTAACCCTTAAACCCTAAACCCAAACCCCTAAACCCTAACTGGGACCCTAACCCC